CAGGGCGAGGGCCGCGTTCAGGTGCGGCAGGCGGGAGGGACCGGCACCTCTGAAGTTGCCCGGGCTTCTTCACAAACTGAACCCGTTTTCGCTGGGGGGTTTTTTTTTTTTTTTTTTTTTCCTCTTTTTTTCAAGAAGGATCCAATCACAGCTAAGAAGTTCAGATTTCAGCTCCTCCCTCTGGGACAGCTGTGAACAGAGGAAGAATCTGTTGTCAGACTAAATAATTCTGATTCAAATAGGCTGTTCTTTGGGATTACAGTGGAGAAGGGAAAAAAAAAAAAAAAAACCGTTTTAAGCATTTTCATTAAAGGTAATTTTACTTATTTAATTCTGCCAGTTATTCGTGCTCTCTAAGAGCTGACTTAAGTCGTACCAACTGTGATTTCTCTCTAAAGAGGGTTTGGCTTCCAGATGTGTCATACAGTGAATACAAAGGGGCAAAATATTCTTTTGGGAAGAGGCTGGTGTCTCACCAGATACCCGGTCTGGCGTTGACCCGAACCTGTATTTGGAGTCCGATTCTACTCAAAGGCAGTGGGTTTGGATTTTCGGTGTTTTTTTTTTTTTTGCGGGGTGGGAGGGCGGTTTATGTTTGGAACAAGCCTTTGGAGGTTTTCCTTGTAGCTTGACCACATTAAGTCTTGACTTCTGAAAAAAGAGAAGTGCCCCAGGAGACAAAAGCTCTGTAAGCTTAGAGGGCTCGCACTGTGGGGGCTTCTCCTCTGTTTGAGGACAAGGCTGCATGCCATTTTCGTTCCTTAGGCTGGGGATGCATTCCTTGTCCCAGGTTCTCGGAGAGGGAGAGTCTGAGAAGGAGCTTCCTCTTCCTGGGGAAATGAAGTAATCATGTCACCATATTAGCTGCAGCGCTTAAGAGGAATGCTGCTCCCCTGCCAGAGACCTGTTATCTGAAGAAATGGAAAACAGCACAGAAAACGAGTGAGAGAGTCCAGAGAGGGGAAAGCAAGAGGTAAATCATCAGCAGCAACAATGGGGAGTTCTCACACAAATACTTTTCGTCTATCAGGGAGTTTTAATGGGGAAAGGAGAAAATATATGCATGAGTTTCTAGAGACAATTTTTTTCATTTCTGTTATTTACTTTGTTTATTACTACTTTCTTCAACATACCAGTTTCTTCTTAGGATCTGGCAGTTTATTGAAAACAATACAGTTATAAATGCTGCTTGTTTAAGGTTTTAAAAAGATAATCTAGTAACCTACAAAATATGTCAATTTTCTATAGCATTTCTAAAAATACTATACCCATGCCCAGTGCCATCTAGTAGAATTCAGACTATAGACACCCTATAGGAAAGAGTAGAACTGCCCCCCATCAGTTTCCAATGTTGTAAATCTTTATGGAAGTCAACTGCAGGATCTTTCTCCCCCAAAAGCAGCTGTGACCTTTTGGTTAGCAGCTGAGTGCTTAACCACTGGACCACCAGGGCTCCTTAAAAAAAAAAAAAAAAAAAAAAAAAGCTCTAAAGTGGATCAATTTAAAAGTAAAATTTCAACTGTATTTCCAAGCTTCTTTATTTCAGAATATTCTTCCTACCTTTTGCTCAAAGAATAAGGAAAGAGCAAATTCACATGAAGACCATCCTACTCTTGTGTCTAACAAGTTCTAGAAGAGAAAAGTTCAAAAGAAAATAACAGAGGTTGTGTTAAGACTTGTAAAAATAAAGTACATTGTCAGGCAGCATAACTCCTTAATCTTGGGATGAGAAAACAAGAGTGTATAGTTGTGGGAGGGGGTGCAGAGTTTATAGGCTTCAGGAGCTAATTGCAAAGATTCCTTTGTTTATTTATTTATTTTGTCTCCCTTCCAACAATCACTAATTGGAATCTCAAACAGAGAAAGACATTTAGATGAATCCTTATGTTGAAGGAATTGTGCCTTTAAGAGACAGGAGACCATAAGTACACATTCTATTTTTCCACAGATTGTAAAATGAAATATAATTCGGAGCAAATTTTCTGTGCTTACTGCTTTCTGTGATGGTTTGTTCAGATTTAGTCACCAGAATTTTTGGAACAGGAGTCCTCCTTGCCCTTTCCACCCCATTTCCTGCAAAAAGAACATTTTTAAGAGATAATATATAACCAAGAAAACACAAATTGTCATATGTTTTCATTCTTCCTTTCACTCTGTACAAAGTCTTTTCACACTTGTGAAAAGTGTCAGAGAATGTTTCACTGTTCATTTGCTAGTAGTTACACCGCAAGGTAACCTGCTCAGATGTATATATTTAAAATTCATTTTAAAGTTTAACAGTAATTCACTGCACTTGAAAATGGCTGGAATAGGAGAGTCTATGCTTCAGAGCTGAGTGCCCTGACTTGCGCACATAGGCACACCTCACACAGCAGTCACGGGATGCTGTGCACTTACTGGAAAGAGTGAACGGTGCTGAGAACTGTGGATGAGGCATGTTATTACACATGTCTGTATGCAGCTAGTTACATGAGCCACCTGTGTGAAGTCTGCACCGAAGGTATGAGTTAGGCAGCACAGATGTCTGTGCAGTGGTGGAGAGATGGGTGGATGGCTGGGACAAAGTGAAGAGTAAGATCAGGGACATGAAGGGCCACACCCAAGGGTCAACTCCAGGACTCTCTAAGATAGAAATTCTCTTCCTCCAATGAGCCAAAGAGTTCAGGATAAAGAAGCAGGCTTTGGTTGCTGACTGAAAGATTCTCTCTCCACAGGGACAGAGATCTTTCCTGAGACAGCTGCACCAGATTTTAAATGCTTCACTTTGGAATCATATAGAAAGCAATTTTAAATACATATTTATATGTGCATAAATGAGCAAAAGAAAACCAAGTAGGCTACTAATGTAAGAGATTGGTCCTAGGTTGATGAGAAATTAATATTTCATGATTAGTCAGATTGGAAATGTTATTATACAAGGAAACAGTGCTATCCTGAGACATTACTGTACTGCCCTTGCAGTCCATTCAGCTACCTGAAAAATGTGCAAACACAGGAAAAGCCCAGCAAGAATGGCAGAGAGGAAGGGAGAAAGGTGGGAAGGGCTGCCCGTGGGCCCTTCCAAACAGGCTGCTGGGCTTCTAGTAGGACCTAGTGGAGGGAGGAGCCTTGAGATAGCCCTCCTCTTTAGCTTGTCACCCCACAGGGTCCTCTACTTCCTGGTCCTCTGGTCCTCTGAGGCAACATTCTGTGGGCTTTGTAGGTGGTAAAGAGCTTAGGAAATCTTAACTCCTTAATTGCCTTGAACTTTAATAGGATGAGACTTGGTCTGAATTATTGTACCATCTTTCTGTTTCTCAGTTTTCTGAAGAAGTTGACTAAAATAACTTGTTGAAAACCTTGTAAATAAAAGATAAAAGCACCCCCACACACACACACACACACTTGCAGCCCAGCAGGAGGGCCAGCCCTCCACACAGGCTTCTCCTGTCTTGCTGGGGTTTCTCCTGAGCCAGTCTTTCATGAAGAGCAGCTGGTGGTTTGGAAACTTCAAAATTTCAATTAGCAGCCAATCACTTAATCATTGTACCATCAGGGCTCCTTAGCTCATTTATTTATTTATTCAGACATAAAAGCTTTATTCCTCACCTATAATTTAATTCACTCTCAGATAAAGTAAATTAACCTCTGAAAGTGCAGAAGAAATGAATGTTTCCTTTTGGTACCTGAGTTTCAATATTTGTAAATTATGTCAATGCCTTTCCCTTATTTCATAATGACATATATTTCACTACCTAAAGGGGAAAATTATCAGTGTGTGCATGGTTGGTGGTTATATATTCTGAGCTTAATAATAAACAGAACCTTGTTTCTCTGGCTGGGTGGGTGGAAGTAACATACACCGTCAAAATGTCAACCTGATGACCATAACATGCATAAGTACATTTACTCAGTGATGCCAACAAGCAAGTAACTCAGTATCTCAGTGGACAAAACTACATGACTGTAAATAAAGAGCCAAATGTGAACAGATTTGTATGTATGTGTGTGTAAAATCTGTATGTATAAATGTGTACATAGACTTACATATTTATGTATATAGATAGATAGATGATAGATAGATAGACATAGGAGCTCTGGTGACATAGTGCCTAAGGCATTTGACTGCTAACCAGAAGGCCGGTGGTTCAAACCCAGCAGCCCCTCCTCAGAGGAAGGTAGGGCAATCTACTTCCATAGCAATACCACCTTGGAAACCCAGAAAGGGGTTGCTATGTGTCAAAATCAACTCCACGACAGTGAGTTTGGTTTGGTATATATATACATATATTTCATTCATATATGGTGAAAACAATAGCAGCAAATACAATGTTAGGATTCTCTCTACTTTTTAGGAATTTGCACTACTTCTCATGTTGATGTCACTAGCCTCTTGTGTCTGTCTGACATTAGTACTATTTGCTGAATAAGTATCAACACATATGATCAAAGAATATTTAAGATAGTTTCAAACAGAAAACCTTGTGCAACATGGGAGCAGCATTATAATCAGATTTGTTTTTCACCAAATCACTTGTATTCAGGATCCTATTACTAGTTAAGTTTTTATAATTTCATTTCTTTTTCTGTAGATATAATATGGATAGAGTGCATGCAAGGTAAAGATACTCATCTCTTCAGTGTTCAGTTTGTAGCTACTGGAAAGTCTTCAAGATAATATCTGTAACATGAGCAAGGAAGACTTTAGAAAATGTTGAATTTTTTAATATTTTGGTACCACAGCTCAAAGATATGTGGTTGCAAAGAGACACCTATTGACCAAGTATGGAAGACTCATTAGTTTTCTTTCTTTTCCTTAACTTTTAAGCAAGGTCTGCCACCTAGTGGGAGGTAGTAAACTTGTCCCTCAAAGAGCATCACCTTGATTTCATTTTGTAATTAACCTGGTTTTGAAATAACATTATTAATTTTATTGAACTGTTTAATTTATTGGTAGCTCAAAATGAATCCTGAATCCTTTCTTTGTACAAATATGTGTAACATTAACTATTCCATAAGGTTTCCAAGGGTGTAAATCTTTTTTTTATGGAAGTAGACTGCCTTATCTTTCTCATGTGGTGCAATAAATTATGCTGTCTTTATAGAATAGGTGAATGAGGAGAATTTATATCCATTAGTCTATGCAGTAAAGAATAAATAAGTACACAAAAATAGCTAATGTTATATTCAAAATTTAGTAAGCATTTCCATAACTTATTTCCTATATCCCTGTAATGACTAACTGGTAGGACAATTTTAAACACAGCATCATTCAGAAAGAAAAGGAAAAAAAGATTATGGAGCCAAGATTTCTGCTCACATGTACTTTTCTCCTGGGATTTTGCACATTGTTATTTGGCTCTGTTACACCACTGTGGTTTGCTCAGGCAGGCTGAATGAGACACCTTATCAGGAAGTTTGTGGTTTATGGGTCATGAGATAAAAGCCAACATTCTTAAATGTTTTATGAGAGCCGATCACTGTATTCAGCAATACACACATATTATTTAATTTATTTTCTCCAAATTAGTTAATCCTGTGAGGTAGGTATCATTAGCCCTGTTTGAAAAATGAGGAAATGAAAACATAAAGAAAGTAAATCTCTTGCTTAAATCACACTGCTAGTAAAGAATAGATAGAGGGAAGATTTGAATTTGCACCTAATTTCAAATGCTACCTATTTCATCACTCTGCTATAACATTATATTTTAATAGTGATTTAGACTCACAGCCAACTGTAAAACACTCTGTGTTAGACTAGTTTCTCTAGAGAAACAAAACCAGTAAAGCTTATATATATATAGAAAAAGAAATTTATCTTAGGAAAATGGCTCACACATTTATAGAAGCTGGCAAGTCCAAAATTCTTGGATCAAACATCAAGCTGGAGGCTTTTTCCAACTCCACACAGCTGCAGGGGCTGAGGAGCTCAAGGTTGGCAGGCAGTATGCTGGCTGCTGACTCCAACAAATGACAAATCCAAGATCTCCAGGCTGAATGGTGGATTGTTCGCTCATGGACAGTTGTAGGCAACACAACACAATCCCAATCCACGGAAGAGTATCCTTTCCCAAGATGTCCATAAATATACTGGAAGAAGGCCACACCCCTAGGGAAAATCCCTTTCAATGGATTGGCTGCTCACAACATACACATCTGATCCCATCATCAAAATAACCACATCACAACAGCTTAAACCACACAGAAACATTGTCCAGCCAAGCTGACACATAGCTCCAACTATCACAGTCCACCCCTTGTCAACTTGACAGTTGTAGACATCTTCTTTACCATATATAATCTCTAAATAAGGACAATTATAAAGTCATATTTGTGCCTAACATGATATGCTAACACACGTACAACCAAAACGCATTAATCTTATTTACACTTCACAGTTCATAACAGAAGGAAACAAAAAATATTTGATGCACATACACAGTGAAGAAATATAACAATCACAGTCCTCGTTTCTGCAGTTGGTCATGTGGTCATAGCTGATATTCAGAACTACCTTCTTCCACCACCCATTCTGTATTTCCGTTGTCCTCAGCAAGCACCTCAGCTGGTCGTGGTTCTTTGCCTGGTGGGGTGACCCACACCTTCATTCCTGGAGGGTCTGGGCCATTAGCAGTCATATCAGAATTGGGTTGCTGTAATTTTCCATTGACTTTAATCACAGGGCAAGGTAGTACTAAGAGACATCCTAAAGAAACTCCTGTATTCCAGACATATTCTTTACCTCCATTATGAAATGTCAATGCAATATCCTTTTGGTTATCAGGATCTATCACACCAGATAGTACAGTAATGCCCTTCTTTGTCTGTTGATCCAGAGGCATGAGGAAGCCAAAATGGCTGGGTGGTATTCTTACTCTCCAGTTCAATACAATCAGTATTGTATCTCCAGGTGGGAGTGTTCCTCTCTTTGAGACTAAGATCTCCAGACCTTCAGAGAATAGGGTAGCAGGGACAGGAAGCAAAAATTTTTTGAGTGGGTCACTAGGGATAATAGTGAGTGGTACCATTCCCGTTTCCACCTCTTGGTTCCTGGACCCATGGATACTGGCTATTGGAGAAACAGAACCATATAT